GTGTCGCGCCGGTACCGGACCGGGACCGGCAACGAGATCGCAACCCTCGGCGTCGCGCCCGCACCTCGCTCAGCCAGTGAGCGGCCGGTCTGTATGTGGGATCCGAACCCTCAGCAGGAGTGTCGCCGCGCTCCCAAGCAGCGCACTGTAGCAGTGCGCCACCGGGCCGACCCCAAAATAAAATTTTTAAAAAAAAATTCCTAACCATAGTCCATATGTCTGGGTTAGATCATGCTTTTTCCACTTACCAGTTGAGGGATCTTGAGCAAAGCACTTAGTTGATTCTCAGTTCCCTTATTTGTCAAATAGAAAAATCATCTCCCTTACATGATTATTGTGAGAAGTTGGTGATATAGTTAAGTTAAGGGCTTAGCCCAATTTTTGCCCCATATCAGGCATCAGTAACCTAATTAGACCAATATTTAAGAGATTCACTGTGTTCTGTTCACTGTACTAGACACTGAAGATAAAATAATAAGCAAGGACAGTCATGGGGACTTTAACCAAATAATCACACATAAAAAAAATGTAAAACTGCAGCTGTTTTCCTAAAAAAGGAAATTCATGCTTGAGTTTATAATAACAGAAGAATTGACCAATCAAAGAGATGAGGGAAAGCCTCCCTGAGGAAGGGATTATAAGGAATATTGAGCTGAGATCTAAATATGAGTAGATATTTACTAGGCAAAGATGAGAGGATCGGCAAAGTGGTTCAGCACAAGGAAGGGTATAGGCAGTGTTCTGAGATGGGAGGGAATTATGAGGACCACAAAGAAGGTCCTTGCCTCTGGAGCACAGGTGCACAGTATGACTTGACTTTGGAGAGGCGAGGACGGGCCAGATCCCGGAGGCCTTGAAGGCTTTGCTAATGTACTTACTTCCTTTCCCCAGGAGCAATGGCAAGCCACCAAAGAGTTTTCAGCAGAGGATGGTACATGATCAAAGAGTGATTCTTTTCCTCCCCTTTTCCCCCTCCTCCAGACACCCAAAGACCGGAATGAACAGCATTCCTCTGGTCTGGCTTGGCCACACAATATCAGTTTTGATTTAGAGTGCCATTGTTTTGAAGGAGGATACTAAAAACAATATGCATATTTAAAAGAGGATAGCCACAAAGTGGGGGACAAGAGGTGTTTCACAGGCACAAGACTTACAAGACTTATTTCTTAAACCTGCCTCTTATAAACAAGAAAAATGATAAAGCTAAAAAAAAAAGTCTTTCCAACAATTACATTAATCAAAAACAGCATGAAGAACCAACTAGCACTGAAAGCATGCATGTAAAGACTAAAAAATCATGGGAAGATTTTCTACCCACTGTGGTAAATGTTAAACTCCCTAAACTGTATCACGGGAGTTTATTTCCATGAGAAAATATTCCCATGCCTCCTGTCCACCTGGGACTTAGCCCTGCCTCTTGTTCACTTTATAATAGTTCCCTGGTTTTCTTCTGCTAAGGGACTGAATGCTTGCTTGTATCGCCTCTCAAAAACCAGACTTAAGAAGAGATCCCAGTCTTTCTGACCCATTTCTGACAACCTGATGAGCTTACCTACAATCTGTGGTTTGCATAGTTCTTACTAATCCTTTTGATATCTGCTTTTATATTCCTTTGATTTAATTTCAAGTAACACAATTACACAGCAAAACTGTTATGCAAAAATATGAGGAAAACAAAAAGATACAGGGTTATGGGTGAGAAAGTCAGTGATGATATTAATGTAGCATGAGCCACAGAGTCATGGAGGTGGCAGGAGACAGAGAACTGAAAGGGAAAAGAAGGAAAGGAGGGAGGAAGGGAGAGAAGAGAGTGAAGGTGCATGGTAGGAATGAATATAGCATGCATTGTCAAGTTGAACGAGAACAAATTGGACTGAATTTCTGATAGGTCCACTGGCTGGTTTGTTTAAACCTGATCCAACTTATTAGGCCAGTCCTTCCTATCAGTCTCATAAAATTAGTAGTGATAGATCTTGATGATTTTTGTCATATCCATCTTCCTTTAGTAGTATTTATTATTTACTTAATGTTATACATTAAAAAGAGTGTAAATTGACACTAAATTTATTTTTCTAGAGGGGAAACGAGGATGTATTCATCAAAGGATATGAATTTTCAGTGAGACAGGATGATCTACTGTATAGCATGCTGACTACAGTTAATAATAGTGTATTGTCTACTTGAAAATTGCTTAGAGAGTAGAACTAAATGTTCTCACTCTCCAAAAATGATAAGTATAAGGTGATGGATATGTTAATTAGCCTGATTTAATAATTTCACAATGTATACATATATGAAAACATTACATCATGCATGGTAAATATATACAATTTTTATTTGTCAAATATACCTTAATAAAGCTCGGGGGGAAAATAAAATGCTTGATTTCAAAAGAAACTCTTAAAAAGAAAAACATTTGCTATGCCTCAGATACCCCAATTAAGCAAGTCTTTTTGATATTTGATATTTTGTTTATTTATACTAATTCTGAATAAAAGCTTAGAATCATGTTTGATGTGCTATCTATCTATATACATTTTAATATATACTCACTGATAAAATAAACAAAAATGTTCCACTGTGTGTCACCTAAAATCATCTTGAGAACCTTTGTGGTTATGGAGGCAACCCTCCTAAACCCTGGATTTGAGGCAGGATCTTAGGGCCTGCAGTAGAAACTGAAATAGAACCACCCTTCCTCAAAATCATCTTTCTTCCCATTAGACTATAATGGTAACTTTCAGGAACATAGCTCCTTTGTACATAACATACATGCAGCTGTTTGGAAGATTCTGGCAAAGCGAAATTATGCCTAACAGCTGGCTGGGTTAAGATTGGGATTACCGGGGAGGAGCCATTACTTAAATGATTTTCTACTACTGTCATATTTGCTGCTGTTTTCAATCTTCTTTCCACTTTTGTTTAAAATGATCGCAGCACCTTTTTGATTGAAAGTAAAAGCAATTATTTAACACTTTCAACTTTCCTCATGTTCCTTTTCTCAAATATTTATTTTTGTAACTATGGAGGAGGAGGTAGTCTTCTAGCTCGGAGCTCCAAAGCCACTTGGAGTGAAGCACTTGATGAGAGACACACGGTGACATACTGCGTCAATATTTCCACTCCTGTTCTCCCCAGATTTGTTTGCTGTTGAGTGTTAGCAGACAGAATCATAGCCCCCCAAAGATATCCACGTCCTAATCCCTGGAATCTGAATATTTTATATTATGTGGCAATTACACAAAGGGGAACTAAGGCTGTAGATGAAATTAAGTTTGCTAAACAATTGACCTTAAAATAGAGAGATTATCCTGGATTATCTGGGTGGGCTCACCTGTAATCACAAAGGTCCTTAGAAGTGGAAGAGGGAGGCAGAAGGGAAGGAGGTGAGAGGGGTTTTATGTGAGAAGGACTCAACTCACCATTACTGGCTTTAAAGGTGAAGGGAGCTATCAGCCAAGGAATGTGAATAGCCTCTGAAAGTGGGAAAGGCAAGGAAATAGATTCTTACCTAGAGATTCCAGAAAGGAATGCAGCCCTACCAACTACTTGATTTTAACCCAGTGAGAGCCATTCTGGACTTTTGACCTCCAACTCTAGGATAAATATGTGTTGTTGTAAGCCATTAAGTTTGTATTATTTTGTTACAGCAGCAATAGAAAACTAATACAATGAACTTCAAAATTTATCTAGTTTCTTCTCTTACGGTTAAAGGTTTGGCATATTCATTTTTAACAAAGTCACCTGAATATTAAGGTAAATTTGGAATCCTAATCTCTTACTAAAGTAATTAATCCTCCCCCACAAGAAACAAAAAAAAGGACAAACAAAAAAAAAAAAAAAAGGAAAAAAGATAACTAATTCCTAAACTTATACATTATTTTTGCTCCCAAAGATTACCAATGTTAATGTCTAGTTAACACCTTCTTTTAAAAAAATACTAAATGCTTTTTAATGTTCTCTGGTTATTAGAGCAAATATAGAAGCATTTTGGAGAATCAATAAAATATTCGTTTTAAGTATTTTTTAAAGGGCAAAAAGCCAGGGATCTAGATTTAAATGAGAGCTCTGCCCTTTACTAGCTGTAGTTCTTTCGGAAAACTAACCTTTCTAAGCCTGTGTTTCATCATTCATAAAATGGGAATAAAAATAATAGGATCTATACAATAGGTTTGTAAAAAATAGATTTAATGAGATAATCTATGCCAAGTTCTTAGTACACCTGGTACATAATAAGTGCATCATGTAATAGCTACTATTATTGTTGCATTATCTTTCCGATTTCAAAACCTTCTCTAACAAAAAAGCACAGCTTTCAAAACCCTTGCTGTGTTCGCGACCTGCACGTTTAATAATCCATGGCTTCGCTTTCAATCTTAAATAAGAGACAGCAGTAAAACATTCTGAAAATAGCATCTCCCTTAACAATACTTAACCTTGAGTCAACAATTCTTTTAATATTCATTCACCAAAGAAATTGTTTAAAAAAAAAAATAGAGGGGTAAGACAATGGCTTAACTATAGATCCTAATTAAACTTTTTTTTTATTTCCCCAAGGCGGGGCGGGGTGAATTCTTTGCTTGGAACCAAGCTTACTCCTCTCCCGCACTGATTCTGCATAAAGGAGGGAACTCCGGGGCCCTCTCCAGCGCGCGAAGTATTTCGCCTGTCCCCAGCGGTGCCAGGTGAGCCCCGGCGGGGAGGTCGAATTGGGGATCGCCGCGCCCGGCGCGCTCCGCGAGCAGCGGCTGCAGGTTGCTGAGCTTCGCTCCGGGAGCCCGGCGTCCTCGTGGCCTCCGGCGGTGCGCCAGGCGACGAGGGGACGCGCTTGGCCTCGTTCAACCAACTTCTGGGGCATTCACCGTGCTCTGGCAGCCTCAGCGGGTCTCCCCGCCGCTCTCCTGCCTGCATCTCGCCTCCCCGGGGCTCCGGAAGGGAAGGAGGCGTGTCCGGAGCAGGCGGGAGCGAGCTATATAAAAGGGCTGGCGGCGCGGCGGCCCGGGCTTCACTCGCCACCTCGCGCCTGGACCAGGAGCGCCGCGGGAAGCACGAGCCGTGGAGAGGGCGCTGCGCTCGGGCTGCCCAATGCGTGGACTATCTGCCGCCGCTGCTCGTGCAATATGCTGGAGCTCCAGAACAGCTAAACGGAGTCGACACACCGCTGCCTGGGCTGGATCGCAGTGCTGCCTTTCCTTATGAAGAAGACACAAGTGAGTAGGGCGCGCCGGGGAGCTCGCAGGCTGTCCAAGAAAATCGCGTCCGGAGCCCGGGGGAGGCCGGGGCGTGCTGGGCTGTGCCCGCCCGGTGAGCCAAGGGGATGTGGGGCAGGCGGGCGTGGGGTGCGAGCCCCAGCCTCCCGGCCCGGTGAGCCAGAAAAGGAGTGGGAGTGATGAGAGGGAGCGGGTGTCAAGTTTGGAGCCGCAGCAGTTCAGTTTAGAGCTGTCAGTTGGAAACCTCAGTTCCCATCTGCTGGAAGGATCCGCTCTCCGGCACAAGGGTTTAAGTTATCACGGGAAGGCAAGTCTTTGCACGGGAGACATTTTCCCGTAGATTCTGAGAGATTATGAAACAGCTCCCCACGCGCCACCCGCGCTCGCTCTCGCACGCAGATTTATTTGTGCAGCTCCCAGGTGGGCGCGGGGCGGACGCGGGTGCAGCCCTGGGAGCGAAGCCAACCGGAGCCCCTAAGCGGCAGGCAGCGCTCGGCGGGGCGTGGAACCTGCCCGGCCCGCCCGGGAAACTTGGCTCCCCGCGGCGTTTGCCTACTTTGTGGGTGGAGATGGGCTGTCCAGAGAGCTCTAGATGGGGGTAATACCTCCACAGTGCATGCACCTTCTACAACTACAAAAGAGAAAGAGTTTTTTAAAATAAATAAATAAATAAATCGGCATCTCTAATGATAGTTATTGAGATAATTCCCAGTGCTGCTAAACTGTGCATTGTATATAAAGCACTGTGGGTAAAGCACGGCCCAAGATTACAATTAAAATTTTTTTCCCTTGAAACGAATATCTGGCTAGTCGATTAGAAAGGGCCGCCACCGTATTCCCGTCCACAGTTCTTTTCACTACTGGCGGTACTTATGGCTTCTCACTTTTCCCCTTGGGAATTGTTCTGTGTTATCTGCCGCGGGTTGGGTAAGGCTGCCCTTTTACCCCCCAGAGGTTCTACTGGAGATTGCAATTCCTGAAATGTGTCGGGGACGGGGCGGGGGGCGCGGCAAGGAAAATTGGGGATTTGTATAAATTGTCAGTTTAGATTGAAGGCATCGACATGCTGAAAATGCTTTATTAAATGACCTGCTTAGCATCATATTTTAAATACATGTTTAGGCCTGGAAATGTATGCGTTAGGAAGGAAATAGGAAGAATCGAGCCCTTTGCACCGGTGTGGAAAAGGGCAGGAGGAAGGGACATTGCCTGGCTAAAAGAAGGTTTGTGTAGTCTCTAAAACACTGTCAGAGTCTTTAAGACGAAGAGAAGCAGAGTGCCTATCTCCTCTCTTGCAAGCAGGTTAGTTTTTAGGCACAGCACTGTACACCACACCTGGGATGACCACAGTGTACTGTTGAAATGTAGATGATAAAGTTTCTTGCGTCAAAGAAAAGTTTTATTGTAATCACTTGATTTGTACAATCTTTCTGCTTTGTGGAATAATAAACAAGGGTGGAGAACCTATTCTTTTTTATAGTAGCATCTGCTCACATGAATGGTAGTGGTGAGGTCTGGGTGGAGAAGCCGCTACTTGCAGTTCAGGAAAAGAGCCTAAACCTTCCTATTTAAACAAGAACACAGGATCAGGTTAATGTCCAACACTCCAAAGCGAGGCAGTGTACTATCGAGTCAGCCCGAGAGTCAGTGGGATTGATGATCCTTGCACCCTTGCTTTGCAAAACAAATGTGAGCTCTGTAATCTCCTTTCTCGCTTTGATTAAATGGCTGTGTAAATCCGATTATATGGAATAATTCCATTGAAAACTAGAAAGAGGTCAATCTAGCTTGAAAACTGACGCTGTGCCTTAGTGACTCAGTGCTGCCGATCAGAGACATTTGAGACAGCTAAGTATTTTAGAAATGTGACCTGTTCAGACCAAGTTAAAGTGCAGGCCCTTTGGGGGAACTTGCAGGCAAGGGAGGACAGTGCTCATGTTGAATGAAGGCATTCATTGCCTAGGAGCTAATGACCTTCAAGGTTTCCTTTAAGGATACTTCTAGCAATTCCACATTCCTATCACTGAAAAAGGGGACACTGGAAGTAGCACAAAATCAATAAAATAATCAGTTAAAATGGAGGAGGGGATTAGATCCTCTTTCATATTGTCAAATTTTCTAATCAAAAAGTTACAAAGATATTTTCTGTGCAACTCTGCATGGATGGGGAGTATCATAAAGAAATCGACACAAAGAAGTGGTATTTGTTGTTCTGAATCTAATTTTATCCTTGCTAGGGAGGAATATCTATTAATATTCAATAGTTTAAATTGTCATTTATAAACATGGCATCAGTACCAGAGTTCTGTTATAAGGCAGCTGTTTCTGTACTCTCCTGTTACCCAATATATAAAATGAGAATGTATTAATAATATTTTTAAAAGGACTTTAATTTGAATTACACAGCTCTCCAAGAATCATGTGGACACCAGGCATTCTGGCCTTTCAATCAAGCTAAATAAGTGTGAACATTCCATCAACAACCACTTTGGGTTTGATGAATGATTCATTTATTTAGCATGTGTGATGGACTTCAGTATTAGGAAAATAATTACACAGGCAATCATCATGAGGAGCAATTGTGACAATAAATTTAATCACAAATCTACAGAAATGAATTTATTTTGCATTTTTCAGATTTCTGTTTGATTTTATTTTATCCATATTGTGTGGTTTTACAATTTCTAAGGGGAATTAAGCACTGGCTTAGAAAGAACGTCTCTTTCAGTGTATAACCATTTTTAAACATAATACTCTGAGATAGTGTTGTATATTAAATAACAATTGGGGTGCTATATTTTGCAACACCATTTAAGACCTGCTTAAAAGTACCATCAACTTACTGTGCCTGCTGCCTCATTTATCAATGTTGTGCTTACATTTTAGTTTTGGGATGGTTTGTGAGAGTTGTCCTGACTGTTAGTTTCAGAAATACTGATGTAGGAAAGAGTCATCTTGCAAACAATGTAGAAAAGGCCATTTCGGGCACACTGTGTCTCTCAAAGAAGAACCAAGTAGAATTTGCTATTCCAAAGAAAATATCCCTTTTTTCTTTGTATGAAGTTTGTCATGTGGATCACGATGCAAGTTTACTTTATAGAGAAAATTAACATGTTCATGAAAAGAGCACTTTTTACTCTTGTATTTCAGATCACTTAATTTGGAGTATGTGCTTTGAATAGTTCTAATTTATGTAGCTTTTAATTGCTATATTCTGCCAAGACTTTAAAACCCAAGTGCTAAGTCAATTACATTTAACATAAAACAAGGACAATAACCATATGGAAATCTGAACGTCTGGGCCAAACCAATTAAAATTGCTACATTTTATTTATGTCTAACTGTTGATGTGAAGATAGCAAATTGTGAGTCACATTTGTTCTTTAATGACAGGTGATTGAAATCTTTCCATCACCATAAATAACATTTAATAAAAAATCCCGCCCAAATAGCAAGTCTTTGAGTATTGCAGGTTTCTTTCATGGGTTGGTGAATCCCACTGCATATGAGCTTCTCTTTCCATGTCTAAAATATGGTTGGTGGAGGGATTCTAGGCTCCAGCCTCTGAAGACTTAGATTCACATTTCTATTCCACCACTTATGAAACAAATGACCTTATGCAAGTGGTTAAACTTCTTGGGATTCCCATTTTGTAATCTGTATAATGATTATAAAATAGTTATAAAGATTTTTCTCACATGGTGGTTGTAAAGACTAAGCAAGATTTTATAGGTCTTTATCCTAGCACAGTGGTTTACTGTAGTTATAGTCAGAATTTATTGTTCCTGAGAAGATTTACCTGCCAGCTGACTTTTACAAGCTAGAGAAAAACTGGCAATCACAGGTAAATGATGCTTAATGAGCAAAGCACAGAGATTAAGTTTTCCTAAATCCGGATCCCTCAGTTCAGTGCCTCTGATTATAGGTTGATCTCTGTTTACAGACCGTAATTAACACGTCAGATTGGGAATGTGTGACAACAAAGGTGGTATGTGGGCATGAGTGATGTTAAGTCTTGAAGGTTTTTCTTTAAAAGTAAAAATGAATGAGAGATTTGGAATAGTAAATAGAAATAGAAAATGGAAATAGTATCACTATCTCTGACTCAGTTCCATATTTCCACACTTTTGCTTTCTGGGTTCTCCTTGTATGATTCTAAGGGTTTATTTTATTTTAGACTGCAGAGACTTGATCAGCTTCCTATCCCTGGTGTTCTTGCACTTGCACTACTGAGTGAGGCCATGCATTCATTTCTGCAGGGTGTCTTTGTTGTCTTTACCAGGCAACATGCAGTGACTTTTTTTTTTCCATTATGCAAGTTTGGTACTCTTCTTTTCTTTTCTCTATCACCTTAATGTTCCCTTTTGTAAATTAGGGTAAGACATTTGGATATAAATCTCTGAGGAGTGGTCTTTTATCGTTCTTTTCTCCTACATGAATCATGAGCAGCTGCTGGAGACTCTGTTCTTGATCTTAGTCACCTGTGTAGTCAGAACAATTTATAAAACAAATCGAGGGAACACCAAGATGCTTTTATAATATATTCAGCTTTCAGGGTTGTTTTGTATAGACTTTGTTTCATAGAAACCATTGACTGTAGCCTTGCTGATTTATAGATGCAGCAAGATGTTTTTGTCTTTTCACTTAATTATGGGCATACTAAAAACTGTTTACAGGGTCTGGGAGTTTGAGAGAATTGTCATTATCCCATCTCTGCCTATTTCTTTCTGCACAGAAAAAAAAAAGGGGTGGGGATAATTTTCTTATAATTAGGCCTTATGGTTCTTTTTTAAAAGTGGCAATGTATGTCATCTGAAGGAAGATTGTTCTTTATGTAGCTCTCTTTATCCTTTGGTTACATTTTACTATTTTTCTAGGCTGCCACATTAGCGTGGGTATTAGGAGACTGAATTCTTTTTATTGACCTGGATACCAAATTGTATGACTTTGGGAAGTTATTAGAACCTCTCCGAATCTCAGTTTGCTTAATTGTAAAAGGA